GACAACCCGGAACCCGTCGACCTCTCTTCCGTCCCGGAAGACTACCACGAATTTCCGGACGTGTTCAGCAAATCCAAGGCCGACACCCTCGCACCTCATCGTCCCTATGACCTCAAGATCGACCTCGAGGAAGGTGCCGAGCCGCCCCTCGGCCGGATGTATTCTCTCTCCCCTACCGAACTTCAAGCCTTGCGAGAGTTCCTGGAAGAGAATACTCGATCCAAGTTCATCTGACCATCCAACTCGTCTCACGGAGCCCCTATCCTCTTCGTTCGGAAGAAGGACGGCTCTCTTCAGCTCTGTGTTGACTACCGCGGCCTTAACAAAGTCACCAAGAAGGACTGCTATCCCCTCCCTCTCATCTCTGACCTGTTGGACGCTCCCGGTCCTTTCATTCCAAGATCGACCTTCGGCACGCCTACCACCTGGTCAGAATCGCGGATGGCGACGAATGGAAAACCACGTTCCGGACCCGCTACGGCTCGTTCGAATGGAGGGTTATGCCGTTCGGCTTATCCAACGCTCCGGCTGCTTTCCAGCGATTCATGAACGACATCTTCTCGGATCTCATCGATATTTCGGTTATCGTCTACCTGGATGACATTCTCATTTACTCTTCAGATCTCGCCTCACACAAGGAACATGTCAAGGAAGTGCTCCGACGTCTTCGGAAGTATGGACTTTACGCCCGGCCTGACAAGTGCGAATGGCACACCGATCGTGTTGAGTACCTCGGCTATATTCTTTTGGCTGACGGTCTCTCCATGGCGGCAGACAAGGTCAAGATCATCCAGGACTGGCCNTCAAGGACATTCAGTCCTTCCTCAGCTTCGCCAATTTTTATAGACGGTTCATTTACAATTATTCCGACATCTGCGTTCCTCTCACCCGGCTCACTCGGAAAGGTGTTCCCTTCAAGTTTTCTGATGAAGCCCGGGAATCGTTCAACTACCTCAAGAAAGCCTTCACTACGGCTCCTGTCCTCACCCAATGGATTCCGGATCGGCCCATCATCCTCGAAACCTGCTTCTGACTATGCCCTCGCTGCTATCCTCTCTATCGAGCTGACCAATGGAGAAATCCACCCGGTTGCTTTCCACTCCCGTACGTTCAATCCAACCGAACTCAACTATGACGTCCACGACAAGGAACTTTTCGCAATCTATGAATCGTTCCGGATCTGGCAGCACTACCT